CACTGGTGGCAGAGGAGAAGAGAGGAGGCGCTTGGATGGATGTGTGCGCGGGAAGAAGCAGAGTGATGAGCGCGGAGAAAGACGGAGTTCGCCTCCCTATCGCCCACATGGTAGAGGAGGAGGAGGAGGAGGAGGAGGAGGAGGAGGAGGAGGAGGAGGAGGAGGGAGGGAACAGGGGACAAGTCGTGAATCGGGTGGCGGAGACAACGGGGGTTGTTGAAGAGGAAAATGATGTGAAGTAATAGAGAGGTGGAGGGATAGAAGAGCAGTGAGGGGGAGGGAGCGAGGAGGAGAGAGGAGGAGGAGGAGGAGGAGGAGGAGGAGGAGGAGGAGGAGGAGAAGGAGGAGGAGGAGTTCTGACTACCGAGCAGGTTTGCAATCAGTCTCCTCCTGTAGGCGACAAGCCTTCCCTGATGACTTTCCGTGAAGTCGAGACGTGAGTGACGACAATGAGGAGAGATGAGGCGCCGCTCAGATGATGAATAGAGGAAGGAGGAGATAGGGAGGGAGGGAGAGAAGCAAGAGGAAGTTTTGGAGGAAGTGGTTGTAGCAAGGGGGAGCAGGAGCTGGAGCAGAGGAGAAGGAGGAGAAGGAACAGGAGAAGGAGATGGAGATGGAGATGGAAGAGGAGGGAAGGCTTCATTTTGCAATTCTCACTTTGTTCTTCAGTCTCTTCCATGAGTTCGGCCATGCTCTCCAGCACATGCTCACGTCCGAGGATGAAGGCCTGGTGGCAGGAATCCGTGAGTAAACAGGGAAAGGAGGGGGAGGGGGAGGAGGAGGAGAAGGAGGAGGAGGAGGAGACGGCGGGTAAAGGGGACTAGTCAGGAGTGAAGCTGACAGGATTGTACAGGAGGAGTTGAGTGGGATGCTGTGGAGACGCCATCCCAGTTTATGGAGAACTGGTGAGAGGAGCGAGGAGAGGAGGAGGAGAGGAGGAGGAGAAGAACTGAGTGGAAGAAAGGTGCTACGACAAAGCTACCATCGACAAGCTCGCGGTACATTACGAGACGGGAGAAAAGATGCCAGAGGAGCTCTGGCAGAAGATCAAGGCAGCCAAGAACTTTCGCTCTGGCTCGATGATGCTCCGACAGCTCCAGTTTGCCGTCACGGTCTCCGTCCCCTACCTCCCTCCTCTCAACCACATCCCTGCTCCTGCTGCTCTTTTGCTGCCGCTCCTCCCTCACTTGCTGCTCCTGCTGCTCTCTTGCTCCTCCTCCTCCTCCCTCACTTGCTGCTCCTGCTGCTCTTTTCCTCCTCCTCCTCCTCCTCCCTCACTTGCTGCTGCTGCTCCTCTTCCTCCTCCTCTCAACCTGTCTTCTCTTCCCTTCCGTCTTCTTACTTCTAAAATCTTCTCTAGGACCTCGAGCTTCACTCCAACTTCGATCCTTCAGTTGCCGAACAACCGGGCAAAAGTGTCCACGATCTTTACAGAGGTCTCCTCCTCCTCCTCCTCCTCCTCCTCCAAAAACCCACAAAATGCCGATACTATTTCTCTTACGCTTTGTTATTCGATAGGTAATAAGCATTGCCCTCAAAAATTTCAATGCGATGAAAAGGAGATTGGTATCAAGACCAACCTCCATTACCAGTGACACCAACATTTCCCCCACCATGTCCTACGAACATCTACCAAGAATAGATGCCTCGTGTCCATCTAGAATGACTACCAAAAATAATACGCATGCTACCAGGAAAACTGTTCCAAAGTGACATCCCTTGCGTGCGAGATAGAGTTGCAGGCTGTTCTCAGTTGCGACCCTTCTGCATAAAGTGCT